CCCACTGTTCGTGAAAACAAATGAATGGCATACAAGCAGCCTAAATTTCATTGTACGCGTATCACACACACACCATAAACAACAGAAAATGTAAAATATATTATTATTTTATTTTATTATATATATTACTCTCCAAATCGCTTGTCCTCGGTAGGGTTGCGGGATGTACTGTATTATATTATATGATATATTTTTCTTTATTTACTTACTTTTTGTTATTGTTGAGGAGCAGCATCAGCGTATGACTGAGCTGGGCTCTTTTCCACATTTTGATGTGAGCTGATGAGCTGCTAGCCTCTTTCTTGACGACATTGCCCTTGGGAGCCAGATCATCTCCTTGGAAACTCTCGGTGATGGGACGCCATCTGTGCTCCTGCCATAACATGCACACTTATCACACATCTATTACTCATTAAATCAAATTAAGAATAGTGCTGAGCGTTTATCTTGCTTTCATGATGGTGTCATTTATTCTTGTTATTTATTTATTTATTTTCCCAAACAGCCACTTAGAATTCTTTCAACATCCCTGCTAAATGTGTTCTGCACTTCACAGCGTCACTCTATTATAAAATAAAATATATTTTATAAAATAAAATAATTACATAAAACAAGACTGTTGCAAATGGAAAAGTAGCTGAAATAATTGAGATAATTGCATAGAGACAATTGACCTACTAAATGTTCACCGCCAGATGGCGATGTAGGTCCACTTACTGACAAGAGCAATAAAGCCTGTACTGCAGCGCCTCCTGCTGGACACACTGACTCAATTATGACTACATTTTATATTTACTTCCAAAAGTTAACACATCTAAATGACACATTGAACGCATGATATGTTACAAAATTACATATGTTAATACCTTACCAACTGGCTTTCCGAGAAGTTATCCACCAGCTGTTGAAACGAGGATAAGGAGGCTGTTGTCATATTTTGTCATTTATAACACCTTTCGGCAGATTAACGCACATGAAGAATTGCATTGCATTTTATGTATTTTAATAAGTGTAGACTTTCAATTCAAATGTTTTCTCTGACTTGTCTGAGATGTTTAGCATAAACAGATAAAAGGGGAAAACGTTGCAGAGCTGCTTAGCCATGAAGTCGATTTGTAGGCCAAACGCAAAATATCCCCTCGAGGATTTCCGGTGTTCCGGTGAATTCAGTTTCCCTGTTTCCCCCTCACAGCGCCTGCGCAACTTCGCAGTGTTGCCAAGTCCGCGGTTTTCCAGCGGTAGTTTGTAGTAGCAATTGGGCGGTTTCTTTTTAAATATCCTGGCAACCCTGAAACTTCAGTACTAAAATCATGACGTCATGATTTCGCCCCGGCTAAGCAAGTCAGCTTATGGTGGTTTTGCTGTCTTTCTGCAAGCAACGTTCATTTCACTTTTATCTGCAGAATAGTGTCTTAAACTAAAACACTAAACACACGGGGAACATATCTTAAAAGATACACTTTTTTTTTTTTTTACAAAACTACACAATTTCAAGACGTTCTGGTCTTTTTAATGTTAACAGTGAGTGCACAAGTTTAAACAATGGGAAATCACAATCAAAAATAAATTAATCACTTTTTAAAAATACAATAGTACAATACAGTACAACAGAAAAGCAATTTTTAAACCATACAAACTAAAATATACAATCTTAGAAACACAAAAATCAATACAAGTGCAATTTTGAAAACCAAGCAAAAACTATTTACAAAATTTTCATAATATACTGACTCAGATAATACACAAGGGGCAATAATATTCTTTATTCACTGGTGATAGCACCCGTCACATCCATCACAGGCAATCTGAAAGATCATACGCTATGTTAAATAACCATAATTGTCTCAAAATTAGATGAAAATAATCTGTAACAACTGCCAATTTAGCAAGGACCAAACATAAGATAATACTAGGTTTAATTAAAAAAATTAAATAAAAAGTCCTCAAACCATGCAGGTGTTAAGTCTGAATCACTTGGGTCGTTGCGTAGTCCACAAAAATGACAGAGATCGTTTAAATCTTCTATAAAAGAGTATACAAACAACATTTATTGTCACATTTATTAATTAAGTCACAGTAATATAAAACTAAAACAGGGAAACTGAATTCACCGGAACACCGGTTTTTAAAATATCGGTTTAAGATTTATGAGTAAAATAATGTCTGTGGTTAACATCACTTGAAGAGTTCTGTTCTTCAACAAAAATAAATGCACATGAATCTGAACTTTGAAACCACAAAAAAATAAAAATAAGATAAAATAAAATAGTTTCACGTTCTGATGCGTCAAGAGGATAAACTCACGTTGTGGTCCTTATTTAGCAATATAATATCTATTTAGGTGTTTCGTACATTTCACGATTGAGGTATAATTGCGTGTACCTTTATAACACAACGTTAAATAATTATTTAAAAAAAACAAAACTACATTACTCAGAAATCCAAAAGTAACCTTTATAACAAGCTCCAAAATGAACCTTTCTTAAAGGTGCAATGTGTAATATTTACATCGATCTATTGACAGAAATGCAATATGTTTTCGAGGTGTATAAAGACCTTACTTAATGAACCGTTATGTTTTTATTACCTTAGATTGAGCAATTTATATCTACACACACCGCGGGTCCCCTTACATGGAAGTCGCCACCATGTTTCTACAGTAGCCCTAAACGGACAAACTGCTCTACACAGCACGTTTCGTCACTTTGTTGTTCTTGCGAATAAAACACTGACACAATGATGAACAAGTACATTAATATTCGCAATAGCATCGATTTATTAAATAATTAAGTAAATATAATTCCTTAATTTACCTTTGTAAAGAAATCTCATTGCTCTCTGCTGTCTTTACCGACGACATCTTAGTCCTGTATCGGCCACCGTAGCTTCTCTAAAGGGAGGGGTGAGCGGGGGACTAGCCGTTGGTTGCAATTCGCAACCTCACCGCTAGATGCCGCTAAAATTTACACACTGCACCTTTAAAGACGTGACTTGAAGACCTTGCTATAAAGCTATAGACGTGGACATTGGAAATTTCCTAACTGCTAGGCCTAATTCTCTTCCAGGTTTTAGGACTACTAAATGGCTCTATTGAAAATATGGAGCTCCTCCAAAGGCAAAATACAAAACAAGTGAAACTGATTTCTCTGATCTTTTATTGTTCAGGTTCGATCGCGCCTGAATGCTTCAGCTTCTTTAAACAGTATAAGTTCGATACATGCCCTTGCAGCAATAGGCAACAACAACAACAACAATCATGATGAATAAACCTATGTGGCAAACCCTATTTCTACAGAACATATACATGAGGAATGGCTTTTTGGACTAAATTACAAACAGCTGGACTTCGGGATACATTCCTTATACACATGGACATTTGAATAACTCGTTAATCATGTGTTAAACTTACATGACACTTTAGGGACTGATAAAATATTCCTATTGACTCAATAGTAAATATAAACCATTGCAAAAACACACTTTAGCATCAGTTTATTTGCAGTCACATTTATTGTGATGAAAATTGCTCACAGTTGTAATGATACACGTTCATTTGAATGAATCATTTAATAAACAACAGAGACTGTTTTCAGGAAGTAATGCTTATTTTACAGTGAAATCAACAGAACTTACTGCTGACATGTGCATGACATAGATGTGCGTGTCGTAGTTTTGTCAACCAACGTGGAAAATGGCAAAACACAGTAATAACACTGACAGTAACATGAAAACATTCATCTCCCCAACCCCCCCAATGAAAAAGCTGATAGAACTACATTTGCATCTTCTGTCATAGCTTCTAACTATTATGATATTTTAACTATGCCAGCAAATTAATATTTATCATTTATGCATAATAAAAAAAGAATGGGTTTTATATAATAAACATATTCAGACATGGAATTTCAATAGGATCTACTTTAAAAATATATATAAAACATACAAAAAACACTATCCAGTTGAAAACAAAAGTAACCTTACATTTTTTAAAGTTCTATAGGTGAAACTACAATTGGACTGGAAAAACACACAACCCAACAATCCACCTTGTGGGCGGCAAATTCAAACACTCATTCAAATGTTCGAAACAAACATCTCTATACACACACACACACACACACACACACACACACACACACACACACACACACACACACAAGGCAAGGAATTTCAATAGAATCTACTTTCAAAAAAATATAAAACATACAAAATACACTCTACCTGGTTGAAAACAAAAGTAACCTTAATTTTGTTTAATTTCTATAGGTGAAACTACAGTTTGACTACAGTTGGACTGGACAAACACACAACCCAACAATCCTCCTTGTGGGCAGCAAATTCTGACATATTCAGATGCTCGAAACAAACATCTCCACACACACACATAAAAAACATGTAAATATAACAAGGTGCCTTAGCACAGACTGGCACACACAGACCTACAGAACAGAAGCATTTAGTGGTGCTTGCAGTGTGGCACGATACAGTGTTTCGAAATACGTGAACTCACAAACTCGTCTCTCTATCCAAATCTGCCTCCTTCTCTTCATCACCTCTTTTATGTTCAATGGCAACTTCAACCGCTGAGCTGCAGAATAACAGAAAGACTCACATCATCATGGAGAAAAACAGACTTTGGTAATCAAAAATCTGATGAGAAACTGTGAGCGACTAGAGTGTGCTGTTAAAACAAAAGAATACAAGCTGTTTTGTGTGAGCTCATTATTTACGATCAAAAGATTGATTTATTAGTGCTTTCAGGTGATTAAAATATTTAACTGATTACTGAAATTAATAACTAATTCATATTCAAATTATTTAATTATTTCAACATTTAAATATGTATCATATTTAAACAATTTAAATATTAATTAATATTGAACATTTATTTCACAATTAACCTGTTAATGCATTTGTTTCTTTTTTTGGAAAAAAAATAAATGTGTAATTATTGTGTTGATGGCTCTCATAGCGGAACATATATGCATATGTATAATCATTCTAGACATAAATTTCACCCTGTTAAACAGACCATATGAGTCTGATTAATACAAAAAATTATATACTTGACCCTATAACACTTGCACTCTCTGTTCTATTTTTATTTAACTACTTGTTTTCTTCTTATTTAAAAAATAATTACCCCCTAACACTAGCATCCTCTATTCTTTTGACTTATTTTATTTATTTTTACAAAATTTGACCCTCTAACACCAGCATTCTCTATTCATTTTCTATTATACTTTTTTGATTAAAAAATGATAATAAAAACATGTACTGACAAACCGAGACTTGTCACAGCACTTACATATTATTGCTCTTTTGTTGGTTTTGATTGCTAGTTCAAATCCGCTCTGAATATTCCGATTCACACAACAAAATGAAATGGTTATGTCAAATTAAATAAAAGCATTATCAGTGTTAAGACAAAAAAAAGAAACAGCATGAAGTACATTTAATTAATTGCATGTGTTTGACACTTTGACAGCCCTATTTTACATGACTACCTGACCTTAGTGAGTTGAAGGAATAGTTCACCCAAAACTGAAATCTACTCAACCCTCAGGCCATCCAAGATGAATATGAATTTGTTTCCTCATCAGGACAGATTTGGAGAAATGTAGCATTAAATCACTTGCTCACCAAAGGATCCTCTGCAGTGAATGGGTGCCGTCAGAATGAGAGAACAAACAGCTGCTCAAAACATCAAAATAATCCACAAGTAATCCACACCACTCCAGTCCATCAGCATCTTGTGAAGTAAAAAGCTGTTTGTAAGAAACAAATCCATCAAGGTTTAAATGACCTTTAAATAATCATTTCTGGCCAAAATACGAGTCCATAATCCCTACCTCCATCACCTCCAGTGAAAAATCCCAACTTGTCCTCACATCAAAATACACCAACATGAACTGTTTTTGCTTGTAAGGTGTGCTTGATGTGTATATATTTCTCTCCTGATAGATGACTCATATTTTTGCTGGAACCAACAAATTACTTGTGGATTATTGTGATGCTTTTATCAGCTGTTTGGACTCTCATTCTGACGGCACCCATTCGCTGCAGAGGATCCATTGGTGAGCAAGTGATGTAATGCTACTGTACATTTCTCCAAATGTTCAGATGAAGAAACAAACTCATTTACATCTTGGATGGCCTGAGGGTGAGCACATTTTAAGCACATTTTCATTTTTGGGTGAACTACTCCATTAAAATTGCGCATGCGCTAAACCTCGACCTTTGACCTATCCAAAAAAATCATGCTTTTCATGCATTTAACATTCTCAACAAATACACACAAACATGCACACAAAGCCTAAAATGCTGTGGAACAAAGAGCTTGAGTATCACAATGTGATGCCAGTGTTTTTAGTAAGATGCCCTTTGTAGAGCCTGGAAATGTTTCATTTTTGTGAAAGACGCAACGTTTTTTTTTTAGAAAAGGAAAAAAGGTTTGAACATGTAGGAAACATGAACCATAGCACCAAAAGATGGAGGCCAGACACCCACAGCACTAGTGTATATACAGTGATCGTGCACAGACGGGTTGGGTTGCGTCTTACCTTTGGAAATCAGCATCTGAGACATTAGGAGAGGGAGCTTACGAGTGACAGGGATGAAAAATTCAGTCATGAGCCTGATAGTCACACTTCCATTTTAAAGAGAACAGCATGTTTGAGGAGTTCACTAATGGAATTACTTCATAATGTAGTGCAGATACTGAAGGATGCCAACTGGATTAAAGATGAATCCACTTTATTTCTTTATCTAGGAATTTCACTTTATCCACTAAGATTCGTATTTAATTCTACTGGGAGCTGATTTCAAATTGGGATAAAAACATTTTAGCAATCCTATATATTCGTTAGCATTTTTTAAATAAAGCTGAAGGGGCTCAGATATGACCAAACTCTGATCTGAGAATGAAAATGTAGGCTTCTGGATCTTTTTAATCCAGATGTTAATGTTCCATAGGAGGAGTAAAACTGAACATGTCTCACTGTAACATAAAATACTGTGTATTTTTATCATCTCAATGCATTGTTTGCAGGCATGTGGTGAGATTAAAGTGATATGTTTGAATATTGTCATGTGTGCGAGAGAATATTCCATCCAAACCTTTTGGAGCTTTGATCTTTGTTGGTGCCGTCAGTGTTGAGGCCTTTCCAGATATTTCCAAAAGATGACTTTGTCATTTCATCTGAAATGCTGACTGTGGATGGATCATCCCTTGATCAACGCAAACACATTTTTATGCATTTTTAAGCTCAGACTATTGCTGTTATATCATCTATTTTGAAAGAAATTGTCCTTCAAGAAGAGAGGAGGCCATCTAAACATTTTTACAGAAATTAAAGACTGCAAGCTGTACAACTCTATATGAAATATGAGAAATGAAATTACATTATATTACTATTACACTAAAAATGTTTCATAAAAAATAAATACACTACTGTTCGAAAGTTTGGGTAAGTATGAAAAAAATATTACAAAACAGTAATGTGGGAAAAAATGACAATTTAAATTAACGGTTTTTATTGTAATGTATTTTAAAATGATTTATTCCTGTAATGGCAAAGCGGAATTTTCTGAATTTTTCTCCAGTGTCACATGATCCTTGAGTAATCATTCAAATATGCTGATTTGCTGCATATTGATGTCCATTTAATGTCCAGTTGTGATACTTAGTATCTGTCACGGTTGCTACTGTGAGGAACGAAGGAGCGCGGAGACGACGGAGAGTATCAAGGGGAACAATCTTTATTTAAACAAATAAAGACTCACAGGAAGGAACACACACGTAGCACAGGGATTGACGTTAGACACCAGACAAAGGAACCAAGGAACATAACACTCTTTAAATACATGACTAGACGAGGGGCTCAACGAGGAACACCTGAAATCAATAAACACAATCAACATGGGAGAAACTGGGTCATGAGGAGCACATGGGGAGCAAAACACAAGACACGGAACACAGGGGCAAGTCCAAGGGCGTGACATTACCTCCCCCTCCCGGAAGCCTCATAACTTCCAACGGGGAGGGGGGGTGGGCGCTCTGGAGGCCTCTAGGGACAGGCCTACACGGAACGGATGGCCTCCAGGGCGGTACCCGTTCCGGGACCCATGGCTGATCAGGCAGTTCAGGGAGCCATGGCGGAGTGGGCAGACTAGGGAGCCATGGCGGAGCAGACAGTTCAGGAGGCCATGGCGGAGCAGACAGTTCAGGGGGCCATGGCGGAGCAGACAATTCAGGGGGCCATGGCGGAGCAGACA